ATAAAAAGTAAGTATTTGAAATATTATTCGCAATATTAGAAACACTATACGGTAATATCAGAACTGTAATTAGAGATATATGATGACTCAGATCATATGTCATGAAATCTTTATATAAAAATGCCTGTTTTTCAAATATTATCATTGTTCACCCATAATTTTGTAATAAAATATTATAATAACTTATGCAAATAAAATAGTGAATAATGAAAACAAATTATGAATGAAAACAGAAATTTAATATAAATGAAAACAGAAATTCATTTAACATGAAAACAATAATTTAGAAAGCCCCTGCACTGCAAGTATCGCCTTCCAACTTTCTTGTTCTTATTTTCATTAGCCTTGTTCAAATATTTTCTTTTTATTGCTTTTTGTTTATAGGCTAGTGAATTGCGACGACTACTTTGTTTCAGTCGCAATCAATACATCCTTACTTTTCACAAGTGCCGTCGATAAATGAACTGGCTAACAGCATTTGTGGTAGCCATTTCTAATCTCTTCTAGCTCACAAACTCATCTTTAGAGCATTGTTGCCAAATAATACTGTGTAATGACTAATTGGCATTTTAGCCCCATTACATGCACAAAAATGCGGGGTAAAAGCTGGAATTTTCGTCATTTTCTACCCTTCTTCCCCTACGCAGGGAAAAATTGAAGGACTGAAAGAAGGGTATAATAATTCCTAGTAGGAGATGGAAATATGCAGGGTAAGCTCACCTCGCTTTCCCGAGATGCATTGCGAGTCACGTGATTGTTTACGTTCTGGGCCCATGTGTTTTGTTTTGGAACTCGGAACGTGAAAATATTTTAATTTGTTTCAAATAATGGCGGAAAAAAAAGAAAAGAAGCCAGCTGATATATTTTCTTACTTCCGATTTATCATGTGACCAATGACGTAGAGGAAGTAGTTTGAAAATCCGGGGTTGAAATTCTTTTGCGTGTAAACGGGTTTTCTTACCGATTATACATTGCCCTGTAAAATTCCTGTACCCTTCTTTTACCCCGGATTAATAGATTGCTCATGTAAACAGGGCCATTTGAGTCTTAGCGAAAGTGCACCGCTCTAAAAGTTCCTTGCATGCAAGGCGTTGGTATACAGGCAGAATTTTGGAAAGAATGTCCTCAGTCAACATGGTTTTCATTTGTGTGTGAGAAGGTGGTTTCCTAGCATTCGCCCTCCTCAATGCAACACTTGTGATGATTTACTTTCGATTCACCCTATTTTAATCATTTGTCCGTGTTTTTACAGACATCGTCTTACCTTTTTTGGTAGTTCTATTTTATCTATGGGAGATTTGTTAGGTGACTCTCATCATTCTAGCATTTTTGCATATTTACGTGCTATTGGCATTTTAAATTGTATATAAGTTTTACTTTATTCATGATTTTATTCACTTTTTACCATTTTACTTGTCTCACAAAATTTTACTGTGTTTTAACTTGGACATGATCTCAGCATTTTTACGTGTCGTTGGTATTTTTAACTGCATATAAAAGTTTTAACACGTTTACTGTTTTATACACTTTGTAAATATCTTATCACCTTCGTACATTTTACTTACTGCCTGCGTATTATACTGTACTCATACTTTATATCTGATTTTATTCATACCTTTTATCTGATTTTATTTAAATCATTAATATTGTCTTATTCACTTGCTAGTAGGGGAGAGTGGGGTCAATTGTAACAGGGTACGATTGTAACAGAGCAAAAATTTCGAGTGTCGGGTTCTAGATTTGGTTCCTAGGTGGCGCACAAGGTGTATTTAATAAATCTACATGTACACCCCTGATGGCAACCATTTTTATGTACTTTTGAAAGAGTTACATCACAAAAGATATTTTCACGCCACGCAAGTACTTTTTTTGGTATTAGAATATTATATTGTAACAAAGTAATTTTGTTTAAACAAATAAAAATTAGTAACCGAATATGTAAGTGGACACTTTAATTAACATTTCAATAAAAAAAAGATTAGTTTTGCTAATTAACTAGCATTGTTTTTAACAAATGAAGCTGAAATGGCGTCTTGGGGACAATTGTAACAATAAGTAAAGGGACGATTGTAACAGCTGAAAATAAATAATCTTATGTTTACAAACCATTACTTAACTCTTTAAGAACCACCAATAGTTTCCTATATCATTTATATTATGTTGCATGTGCATTATTTTATTTGTCACCTTTCACAGCATAAATTAAAATTTTTAACCCCTTAAAGTTAAAAGTTTAACCCTTTAGGTCTCTGCTCATTATTATTTTTACTCCTAAAATATCACTACTATTTTGATCAATAAAAAAATATATCACAACTATGATAATATGTATAATTAACTATGTTTTAGTTGAATTTATGAACTGTTACAATTGACCCCGTAAGTGGGGACAATTGTAACAAGTGCACGACTGTCAAAAATTGTTAATAACTAATATAATAACATTTAAAATAAGGTTTTTTTTTCTAGTAGAGGATAGTCTACTTTACTCGTCTGTCAATTAATACTAATAATATATTGGATTTTTTGTTAGTTAAAAATAGTTAAGTAAAAAATGTTACAATTGACCCCACTCTCCCCTACTGTTTTATCAGTTATAATTGTACTACAATTAAATTTGTATGCACTTAAGACTTTTAAACTATTTTACCGTACTGTTTGGCGCAGCATGTCCTCATTCGGACCTTGTGCCACTAAATCCTACATTCAATCAATCAATCATCCTAGCATTAGCTCGATTATAAAAGCACTAAGATTCCTTCCCCTCAGGGCACGTCGTGTACTTTGGTAACTTGTCTGTTGATGTCCAATGCATCAATGATGCAAAAATTGCTTTTCTCATTTTATCGACGTTTGGAGCATTATCCACTATGGCTTTACGATAATAGTTACCGACAGTGTCAGTCAGGTGACCTTTTTTTTTCTTCCTCCAGGGCATATACCCTCACTCTTAACTCTTTAACTTTATTGCGGAGAGCAGTACCCAATCACTTCGCAATATGGTTAACGCATTCCTCTTTTACAATTGGAAAGTCCCCATACACATTTTTTTCTTTGAGGAACGCAAATGTTTTGCAGTCACCATCAGATAGAAGAACAGTATACCGCATTTTGCACAAATCCCATTTTCTGCTTTAAATTTGTTGAAATTTATTTTAGCCACGATAAAAAAAAAATTAAACAAAATATATATATATATATATGTGTAACCTGTTATGAAAAAGTGAAACTTTACTTGTAGCTTTTTTTTTTTAAGACAATGCACAAAAACAGCTTCTTTTTTATATTAGGTTTTATTTCATACCAAACTTTGAGTACATTAACATTGATACAAATGGTAAATAAATTAAAAATTTAATATACTTTTTACAATCATTTAAACTGCAGTTGAAGAAGAAATAATACACTTCTCCATTTGATTGCAAAACAAAAAATTTTTATTTTTGGCTATAAAGTAGCAGTAACGTTGTAAGCATAAACAAATACTGTTAATTCAAATAATAACAAACAGACAATTTAATTCTATTTATTTAAGCTGATTTGAAATGAGATCCACAATCCCTTGAGATGTTCTTTGGTCTCTTTATGTTTCTAAACAAAGCATAAAAAATAAATAAATAAATGCCCTTTTAACATTAAACGATACAGTTGTACTGTAAAAAAAAATTTCTTCCTTCATGTTTCAGCATTCATACATAACTTTTCCAGAAAAAAAATATAGATATGCTAGCAACATTTAGACCAATTTAAATTAGATATTCATTCAACACAAAAAAATCCTATAAAGAATTTAAAAAAAGAAAAAAAACTTCATGAAATGTATGACTTCATGAAGTAGGTTATTTACACTTTTAATATTGTCATCAATAAACAAATTTTGTTTACTATAAAACCATATTACGATAGTGAGAAATAGACATTTTTTTGAAAAGCCACACAATCTCTGGTACACAAAAAAATCAATTAAAACAGACACGAAAGCCGAACATGAATTAAAACGAAAATGTATTCAAATTGATCTGACAGCAAGATCCAGTAAGTGGTGTTAAATCCTTTAGAACAGCTCTTAGAAGATATTAGAGAATATGTTGTTATCTTGCAGTACAGCCAATGGTGGATACGATTTATTTTAGATGTAAATATAGACTACGAAGAAGTTAAGGCTACAGTGGATACCAAAATCAATAAAAACCTATGGGGAAAAAAAATTCGATTTTTTTTTTAAACTGTTTTTGATACTTTTAGAGGTACTTTATACAAAAAGCATTTTTCAAATTTGATGATTTTTCTTCGAGTTATAGGAATTTTTGGAAGTGCCACGCCCCCGACCTCTCAAATGGTTTCTCTTTTGCAACTTGTAATAAAAGTTACTTTCGAACTGAAATAATAATATATTCTACTAGTAATGCCTATTTCTTTGATCATTATGTCTTGTTTTCAAAAATCTGGCAACAGAAGCCAGATTGATTGTTTACATTTCTATGTTTTGATCTTCGTTGTATCGATTTAAGGCCTGTTTGCACGGTCCAATCTCTTGTATCCGAGAAATCGGACTGATTTCTCTGTCTTAAGCTGCCCCTACACTATCAAGCCGCTTGATCAAATGCTTGACCCTCCAATTGATGGGAGCTTCAAGCGTGCTTCAATCAACCCTTCAACCTCTTAATCTGTTTTTAAAACCGTGTGTTTGGCGCAGTATGTCCGTTTTTGGACCNGAAGCAGAACGGAGTGTGTTGCGATCGTGCTTTTGCTTTTTCGATTAAAAATAATTCTTAATAAATAATAAATCTTTTTTAATTGCTTTTTCGATTACAATGGTGTCGAATACAGATTTGGGCTTCCTAATCGCAACATTGGTTGCCGTGAAGCGGAAAAAGACGGAAAAGAAGAAACGACGGTGGTCCAAGGAGTGGTACAAACTGAGAAACCGCTTCACTCATGAACATCTCCTAAACTTCCTAAGTGATTAAGTTAGACCAAGTTCATGGTGCGGTATAGCCATTTCTGGCTCTTGCGCCAAAAACACTAAATAACTAACCTAAGTGATTCAAAACCAGAGGACTACAGGAACTTTTTGAGAATGGACCAAGAAAGTTTTGATCATCTACTGGATTTACTCCGCCCTGACATTGAGAAGACAGATACAAAGATGCGTGAAGCGATTTCTGCAAGTCAGAGATTGTCTATCACATTGAGGTACCTGTCGTCTGGCATGGATTTAGCTGATCTCAAATTCACGTGCGCCATTGCTCCACAGACTCTGCAACTCATCATAATGGAAACTTGCTCTGCAATGATCAAGGCATTGAAGGAGAACATTCAGGTTAGTAATTATAGCCAAGTAAATCTCTTTATATTTTAAGGAAGAAAGGAAAGAATTACAATTTACAAATAATTAATACAGATATTTCCCAATTTATGAACATTAGTACTGAACTGAAAACATTAGGGGCACAAGTTCACATTGAACTAAATGAGGAGAAGAACGTAGCAGCATTATCTTCATGAGACGTTGTATGGTGTAGCCGTTGGTATGATAGGCTTTCTGTTGAAGTGTGCTGTGACGGCACTGACTGGGGGTACGTTTGTCAACTATTTACTGAAGAACATGACGACGCAGGTGACGTGGCTGACCAACGAGGGAACGTTTCACAACGCACTCCTTCCCTTGTCAAGGTGTCCATTTCTGCTTCAAAAAGCGCGTCATTTATGATTTTCTCTGCGAAGCGTCGTTGGTCTAGAGCTAACTTTTTCAATTTCATAGCCCACCCCCTAGCGACAATATCTTCTTCAGTCTCAGGTCGCTTAAAATATTCAGTCGCTAGTCCCACTAATTGATCAGTGCTGTCTGGGACACCTTTCCTTTTTTTACCCGTGATAGCTCTTTTGGGAGTTCGGGGTGTAACCACGTCAGAGGGGATTCGACACTTTCCGAGTTGACTTGTGATTGCGAGTCTTCATGAGGAATCGATGGTTCCTGTAACAAAAAATAAAATACAATGAACGAAAGTTTACGAGTTTAAGCACAACAGAAATTTAATAAGTAACTACCTATTTACAGTGTTATACTATTTATACAATGTTAAATAATGCTAGTTTCGTTTTTTGTTTCTCATCTAGGTCCCAAAAACGACGGATGGATGGAAACGAGTTGCACAGGAATTCGAAGAACAATGGAATTTCCCCAACTGCGTCGGGAGCACTGACGGCAAACACGTATCAATCCAAAAACCTCCCCATTCTGGATCCTACTATTTTAATTACAAAGGTTTTTTCAGCATCGTGCTTATAGCTATTGTTGATGCAAATTATAAATTTCTGATGGTCGATGTCGGAGCAAATGGCCGAGTGTCAGATGGAGGTGTGTTGAAGAACACTTTGTTTTGGCACAAGTTGTCTGAGAACCAGCTTAATATGCCTGATCCTCGAGAGTTACCAGGCACTCCTAATAAACAATTTCCGTACGTCTTCGTTGGAGATGAAGCTTTCCAACTTCTCCCTGAATTCATGAAGCCCTACAACAGAGCTGCTTTGACGAATGAGAAAAGGATTTTCAACTATAGACTCTCACGATCCAGAAGAGACGTTGAAAATGCTTTTGGTATATTAACGAAGAGATTCAAAATACTTCAAAACACCATTAAATTTGAACCAATGAAAGCTAGAAAAATCGTAATGGCGAGTTGCCATTTGCACAACTATTTATGCTCAAAAAACAGAACCAAGTATTTGCAATCTCAGGATATTGACAGATACGATGTCCTGACTGGTGCTGTGGAACCTGGGTCATGGAGACAAGACATTGCACAGATGGTACAGCTTCAAAGAACCAAAGGCAATTCTACAGTAGAGGCAAAAAGAATAAGGGATGACTTCTGCGAATTTTTCAACACGTCTGGGTCAGTTCCGTTGCAAAGCAAGTGCCTTGTGTAATGTAGATGAATAAGTAATAACATTACTCGTAATATAAAATAAATATGAATATCTACTGTAAAAATAAAATAAAATTCTTACCTCCGAAGTATCAGTCTGTGCGATTTCCAATTGGGCTTTTATGAAGTATATTTCATTGAAATACCAAAGTGAGGGTTCAGGGATGTCATCCGCAGACGTCCCTGTCATCCCTGACGTCCCGCAGACGTCCTCGATGGCCTTGAACTCTCTGTTGAAGTTAGTTCTGAGAACATTTATTTTTTGTTTTAATTTTTTCACGGTGAAATCCGGTTTTAACTTTCTCAATGCACCCACGATTTTTTCAAGTGCCGCACTTTTTTTATTTCTTTTGAAATAGTCTTTACTTTTTACTTTCCACAACTCCGGACAATCACGATACAGATCAATCAATAAACTAATAAACTCCCGATCCGAGTTTTCGGGAGACGCGGATTGGGAAGTTGACGCCATGGCTTCCACCGAGTGACTGACGCAATGCTTAACGGAAATTGTCCTACACTATCAAGCCACTTCATCAACCGCTACAGTCATTCAGAATTTCTATCAATCACCGTCAACGCTTGGTTCAAGCGTCAAACGGGCTTCTAAACTATCAATCACGCTTGATACAATCAATTTGGTCAAGCATTTGATCAAGCGGCTTGATAGTGTAGGGGCAGCTTTAGAACATTAAAAATAATCTGAAAAAAAAACTTCATGTTCAACAACTCACATTATTATGAAATTGAATTTCAAGATAGACTGTATTATAAAAAAAATTGTGAACAGAAATTTAAATATAGTTACTTAAATAAACGATTAATAAAAAAAGCAAAACTGTAAAATTATATTCCAAGACGTCATGAAGTTGGATGATTCGTTGACACTATCTAAGTTCTTGAATATCACTGATTGGTCGGATTAAAAAAGTTGCGCATGCGCTTAAATAGCTCATGTTTTGGTTTTTATTTACAAGTTAAAGCTTTTGAAGCTGTTAAAATCGCTACCCCTAAATAATATAGTTGTAATATTACTTTTATTCATTTTATATAAAATGAATGACGAGATCATTGCGCTTCCCGCTACAATTATGGCTGTTGTTGCGGTCTCAGCTATGAAAAAAAGAGATCTAAATGGTCTAGAGCAGTGGCTCTTAAACTTTTTAAGCCGCCACCCAAATTTGAGAAATATGTTCATGTCGCGACCAAAAAAAAAAGTCGCAATTTTTTCATTGTT